AACCTAGACATTCGGTCCCAGTGCTCAAGGACACTTTAAACCTCGTTCTGTGGCTGCATCATAAGCATGAGAAAGGGACGTGGTGCTTGCCACTGAGGTCTGAACCCGGAGAGTAACCTGGGCAGCAGAATTAGAACAAAAGAATTGGTTTTAAGAAACATCATCATGCATAGGAGCGTTACAAGTTCTTGGACTGTGGAGGTGCTGAAGTCAGGGATAGAAAATGGCAGGGCCCCTCTTGCAAATTCAGCTGGGAGTCCCAGGTCTGAAGAAACGTGAACTCTCTTGTGCCCCAAGATCATTGAGGCACGAGACGTGTCCCAGGTCATCCCCCTAAGAGGCAGGGACTCTCAGGAATTCAACCTGGATCATCCAAGGAGTTTGAAACCTTTAAAAACGACCTCCATCTTCAGGGTTTTGAAGGTGGGCTGGATGACAGAGGCAGGACTCTGTGTGCATGTGTGTAGGGAACACACCAAACTCAAGAGAACTGGGTTTCAGATCTACCTCTGACGCTCAGCATCTGTGTGGTTCTCTGTAGTAACTTAGACTCATTCTCTTAACATAGCTTAGGTATTTTGAAAATTAAATGAGACAATGAAGATATGAGTTTTAAGCTGCAAAATGTTCCTCAATCAAAAAGTAATAATGTTTTATATAATTTTTAATTGAGACAAAATTCACCTGCTATACAATTCACCATTTAAAGTGTATAATTCAGTGGTTTGTAGTGTATTCACAAAGTTGCGCAACCATCACCACTATCTAACTTCAGAACATTTCTATCACCCCAAAAATAAACTTCATGGCCAATAGCAGTCATTCCATTTCCCCTCCTGACACCTCCCAGCTTCCAAGCAACCGCTAATCCACTTTCTGTCTCTGTGGATTTGCCTGTTCTGGACATTTCACATAAATGGAAACACACTATGTTCTTGTGTCTGGCTTCTCTCACTGAGCATCATTTGTTCAAGGTCCATCCACGTTGTAGTGAGTGTCAGTGCTCTACTCCTCTTCACGGCTGAGTGATATTCCATTGCATGGATGGACCACCTTCTGTTTATCTATTCATTCATTGATGAACAGACATTTGGACTATTTCTAATTTTTGGCTATTGTGAACAGTGCTGTTATGGATAGTCATGTAGAAGGTTTTTGCAGACAGGTGTTTTTATTTCTCTTGGGTGGATCCCTAGGAGTGGAACTGCTGGGGCAGATAGTCATTTCATGTTTCATCTTTTGAGGAACTGCCAGGCTGTTTTCCACAGCACCTGCATCTTTTTCCATTCCCACTAGCTGTGTGCAAGAGCTCCAGTTCCTCCCTGTCCTCATCAACACTTGTCAGTGTCTATCTTTTTTATTCTAGCCCTCTTAGTAGTGTAGAAGTGGTATCTCCTCCTGGTTTGATTTGCATTTCTCTAATGACCAAGGATGTTGGGCAACTTTTTATGAGCTTTATTGGCCATTGGCTTTTTTTTTTTTTTTTTTAAGGAAAGCCTATTCCAATCTTTTGCCCATTTAAAAACATTTGGTCGTGTTTTTATTGCTGAGTTCAAGTTTTCTTTTTTAATATATTTTATTTTTAAATTACAGTTTACAGTCAATATTATTTTGTATTAGTTTCAAGTGTACGCATAGTGGTTAGACAACAAGATTGCTTTATATATTCTAAGTAGTAGACCCTGATCAGATCTATGATTTGCAAGATTTTTCCCCATTTTGTGGGTTTTTCTTTCACTTTCTTGATGGTGTTCTTTGAAGCACATAAGTTAAGGAATGCTACTTTAAAGATTTTTTAATTTTATTATAAGTAATGTATGCATGATACAAAATTCAAAGAAGCTCTCTCACTCTGCTCTCTATGCCCTCTATTTCCCTACTCCAGAAGCAGCCCCTGTTTATGGTGACAAGAATTATCTGTTTAAAATATTATATATGCCCTGGCTGGTGTGGCTCAGTGGATTGAGTGCCAGCCTGTGAACTGAAAGTTTGCTGGTTCGATTCCCAGTCAGGGATCATACCTGGCTTGCAGGCCAGGTCCCCAGTTGGGGGCATGCAAGAGGCAACACACCAATTGATGTTTCTCGGACACTGATGCTTCTTTCCCTGTCTTTCTCCCTCCTTTCCCCTCTCTCGAAAAATAAATAAAACCTTTAAAAAATAAAGTAATAAAAATATTTTATAACTGCAGTGTAGCCAACATAATTTGATTCAAGTTTTTCTATTAGCATGCTATGTGTCTTCGGTTACTTATTCTGAGTCTCCATACCTTCATTTGTACATCAAGGATGATAACCTCTACTACACAAATGGACTAAAAAACACTCAAAAGTGGAACTCAGCAAATGAGAGCTGGAGTTACTACTCACCCTGGAATAAATCTGTTTGGAGACAAGTGTCAAGTGGTTATCAATTTTTATATTGCTTTATTGCTAAGATGGAGCTGGTCCTGATACATTCCAAGAACCTTCAGCCAAGTATCTTATAGGGTCTGCTCATGAGGTCAAAATGCCTTGGGTGTGTGTGAATTTTTCACCTGTGGAAATGTTGGGTTCATATCTGCTCAGATAATAGTAATAATAATAACAACAACATAATCACATCTATTATGTATTGAGGACTTCCCTCCTATAGGTACTGTGCTATTTAAGTATGTTACATGTACCATCTTGTTTTTCCCTTGTCACAACCCTAGGAAGTCTCTACCATTACTCTCTCCAAAAGACCCAGAATCAGAGAGGTTAAGTAACCTGCTCTAGGTCACACAGTAAAGCAATCTTTTATATTTTACTAGGTTTTAAAATAGCATCCACAAGTATTTTTTTACGGGGGGGAGTAGGGACTGAGGTGTGGGTGTCAGGACAAATCTTTGCCTCCCTTCCTTATTTTGTTTTCACTGCCCAGGCAGGAGTGGGCATGGAGTAGATGTATGCCATCCTGACCTGTCCTGAAGGACCCACCCCCCACCCCCAACCCCTTCTAGGAGGGTCCTGAGCCAGGTCAATTTAGGTTTCAACGTCCTTGCTCATGGTCCCTCTCTGGGCCTCAGTTTCCTCAAATGTAAGGTAGAAATCACAGAACTGCTGCTTTTTCCCCAGGGTATAATCAGGGTTAGATTAATACCAATATTACCCAGGAGTTCCCTGCCCTTTCTGAGTCAGGTTATCAAATGTGGAGAACCAATGCACGGTATCCGAGGTTGGGTGGTGGTCGTGGGGAAACTGACCTACTCCTAGGAGCTTGTAGCAGGGGAGTAAGACGACTTGAGACTAAGGCCTCAGCCTGGGTTATCTGTAGCACTCCAAACCCAATCCTGAGACCTGCAAACAGTCTTTCTACTTGGCCCCTTTAGTCCCCAAGGGTGATAGCAGGGTGGTTTAAGGAAGGAAGCAGGACTTACAAGCCAGGCAGGGTCGTTAGAGCAAAGTCCTTGAGTTCCACCCTCTCTCTGTATCCGCGGGCCCCTCCCTCGGTCCCCTCCCTCAGTCCCTTCCCACCTAATTGGGGCTAGTTGAAGGCTTAGAGTAGTGGGGCTGTTACTTCTCCTCTGGGGGCCTCATGGGGTTCCCCTTGAAGCCAAATTATTACAAAAGCCATTTCAACTTGTTTGGGAGTTTAAAGGCGCTTTTTAACATGTGTGAAGAGGCAATAAAGTGTGGGGTAGGGTAGGAAGAAAGCTTTGAAGTCAGAGAAGGAGAGACAGGGTCCATTTCACCTGTGGTGGCTAAGGTAATGGTGGTAATAATGCTAATAACTAATAACTAATGATAATGATAATGCGATTAGATATTAGAATGGAGGTAAAGGAACTCCGGACAGAGCCGACCACTTGAGAAGCGCTCAGTAAACGGCAGCTATAAAGCAGGTGCCAACCCTGTCAATCCAAGGGAATGAGGAAGAGGAAACTGAGGCCCGAAGCCCCGCAAGCTGCTGATTACACAAGCCAGCCCTTATTCCGGGCGCCTACTGTGTGCAGTGGGCAGCGGCCCGGCCGGGTCAGACTGTTCTCACCGCTGTCCCCTCCTTTCCCTCCCCCTCCCCCGCCAGACCTCTCCCACGACCGGGGAGGAAGTGGGAGAAATAGGGAAAAAAAAAGTTGGCTCAGCCAACACCTCCCCACTCCCCACCTCCGCCCCTCTAGAGCCACGCAGACCCTTTCGGGAGCGGCACGTAGGACCCAGGCGTCCGGTGCCGGGTCCCTGTCCCGCCCAGCAGCCCGCAGTTGGGTGGGGGAACTCGGAAAGCCTGGAAAACAACCGTCCAACCCGCCCCTCGCCAACCCTTTCCCCCGCTACGCCTCTGGCGCAGCGGGCGGAGGCGACTCCTTTATATAATCGCGGGCGGGCAGGTTGACTATTTCATTTAGGGACCCGGGAGCCCGGCGGACCCGAGCTGTCACCCAAAAGCCCGCCCCGGGTCCCTTCTACGGTTGGGCAAACCGAGGTCTGGGGAGGACTAGGGGCCAGCCCGGGATCCCCACCCTGGCGCCCCCCACTCACCCCCAGCTGCCGGGGCAGCCACGACCCACGCCCGTGTCCGTCCTAGCAGTGCGCACAGCCCTCCCCACCCCCGCTGCCAGCCTGCCACGCCCCAGGCGTCGGGGGCAAAGCCCGCGCCCCCCCCCCGCACCCGCCCCTGCGCAGAGGCTGGGGGCCTGTTTATCTGGAGGCCCCCACCCCCCTCCACCCCGGGGGGCCCGCTCCCCCCGCGCCCCGGGGAGCTCTGGGGCCAGATAAGCTGGCAAGCTGGCACGGCGCCGCGCAGCGGGGCGGAGAGGTCAGAGGAGCGGGGGCGCGCTGGGGGCGGGCTGGACCCCCCCCCCAACTTGACAAAACCTAATAACAACCCGGTCTCCCCGGCGCAGCGGGCGAAACCCCACGGGAGGGCAGAGACGTGGCAAGAGGGGACCTGCCGAGCCTGTTCTGGCCTCCGAAGCCAGGGGGGGTGGTGCGGGCTGGGCGCGGGGGGGGGGGCCGGCGGCTGCGGCACCTTTAAGACAAGGGAGGACCCCTTTTGCCCTCGGAGAAACCAGGAAGGGAGTCGCGAGCATCATACGGGGCTTTGGCTGTACTGTACAGTTACTGTAGGGGCAGTGACGCCGCCGCCGCCGGAGCGAGGGAGAGACGAAGGGAGGGCGAGCGAGGGGGAGAGCGAGACGCGGACCCCGGAGGCGAGCGGCTGAGGAGCCTAGTCCCAACTCCGGGCCCCGGCCCCGTGCGCCCCGGCCCGGCCCGGCCCCGGCCCGGCCCCGCGAGGTAAGTCAGCGCCCGGCGCGACTCCCAGCACAGGGCACAGGGTGGGGACGAACCGGGGGCTCTGCGCCCACCCCTGCCCTCTCGGGAAGGGGAGATCCGGGGAGCCAGGGACGTTCCGCAAGTTTCAGAGGAGGGGGTGGTTGGCAGCTGCTTGGAGGCTCGAGGCGCCCTGAATCCCGAGCCCGGGGAGGGGGCGCCGCCCGGGATGGGGAATTGGGGGCGAAGTGCATGGGCTTGTGCGCCAACGGCCTCCCCCCACCACCCCGGGTGCATGGCTTTTCGGGGCTCCCAGGCGCGCGGAGAGCGGGGGAGGGGAAGCGGGGCTGCATTGAGGGTGGGGGGAGCCGGCGTGGGGAGAAGGGGGGCGCGTCGCGTGCTAAGTTTGTTGCTGGGTACTGGGGGCGCTCTCCCCAGCCCAGGGGCCTATTCGGTGCTGCGTCTATACGTTGGAGTTGGCCAGGATTGAGCTCCATGGGGTATGGGGGGGAGGGGGCTGAAAAACAGGGAGGGGGGCTTTGCTAAGGAGGGGGAAGGGGGGGGGGTGTCCGGGTGGGCGGGCGCGCCCGCAGGGTCTTCTGGGCGTCGTAGTCTTCCTGCCACTTGCGGCAGGCAGGTGGCAGGCGGGTCGTACTACAAGTCCCAGGATGCGCCGCGCCGGCGGCCGGCCGCGGCCCGCGGGTAGGGGCGGTGCGGAGGAGGGGCGGTGAGCGGCGGGCCAGCGAGCCAATGGACGCGGGCGGATCGCGCGGTGCGGCGCTGGGGCAGACCCAGTAGGCTCCGGGGCGGGGCCTGACGCCAGGCGCCCCTCGCCGGGGGCCGGTGGCTGTCCCCGGCTTCCGGCTGCGCGGCCTGCGGGCCGGCCCCCTTCCCGCCCCGGGGCCCCTCCCTGCCTGGTTGTGTAACCGTCCCCAGCCCCCCCCTCGGCCCCCTGCCCCGGTGTGGGGGGGTCACCCACCCGGTGTTCCCCGGGGAGGGCGGCGGCCGTGCCGGCCGCGCGGCACAGGCGAGCCCGGGGATGCGAGGCCTAGTGCAGGCCGGGCCCGGGCGTGGGGGAGGCGGGCGGGCGGACCCAGATCCGGGGTAATTTGCATCACCCTCCCCCCAGTCCGGGTGGGGATTGGCCGCCGGCGGCGGGGGGTGGCGCGGGGCCAGGCTCACTGCTGTCTCCCGGCCCCTCGGAGGAAGCCTGCCCAGCCGCCGCCACCGCCGCCGCCGGGGCCGGGCCCCCTCGCCGCTGACCCGGGAAGGAGGTAGGAACCCCCCCGCTCGGGCGTTGCGGCGGGGGCCCGCAGGCCGGGGCGGGGGCCGCGCGCTGCGGCCGGCGCGGGGGAGGGGGCCGCTTCCTGCTCCTGCCCGGGCCTGACTCATCCCTGGGTGGGGGGACCGGCTTGGCCCCTCGGCCTGCCCGCGCGGCCGCACTGCCCCGGCCCCGGGAAACAGGGCAGAGAGCACGCATATGCACCGCCCGCGCCCCCGAAGCGCGTGACCCTGTCTCCTCTGGCCCGGACCCCCCTCCTTTCCCTTGACGCCACCACCACGTGCGAACCCTGAGCCCGGGCAGAGGAGGGGTGACCTGGTGGGATCTGGCTCCCTCTCTCATTCTACCTCCCTCCCCAACCAAGGAACCGGCCCCCTCCCCCAGCGAGGCGCCTGGGATCCAGGCAGGGGCCTGAGCCTAGTGCTGGAGCTGGGTGCCCGCTACCCCCATCCCCGGGCTCAGGCTTTTGCGGGTTCTGGGAGGCACTGCCCGCACTTGCTGGGGAGTCTGGTGGACTGCAGCAAGAGACTACTTTCCAACCAGGCCGGGGCACCCAGTGAGAACCCACTAAATGTTTGGGAAATGCAGCCAGCAGTTGGGAGATCGGCAGGGGGGAGGTAGGCAACTCTTTTCTCCCCCCAGCCAGGTGGCGGAAGTGAGAGGTGTTGGCGCCCCTTCCCCGGGTGTGCCCACCTGGCTCACCCATGGGGTGGCAGGCCTGGTTTGCTTCCCCTTTCCCTGCCAGCTGCCTCCAGGAGCAGGTTGTTCTAAGAGGGAGAGGACATCTAGGATTCCATAAATCCCCCCACCCCACCCCACCCTACCCACCCAACAGGACCAGGGCGTAACCCAGAGTGTGCCGCTCCCACACTGGGGTGGGGGCCTCCGCAGGACCAGCCAGTCACTTCCTATTGGCAGAGCTGGTCTTGGGAGAGGTCCTGGTAGTCCAGGCTGGGTCCTGCTGCTCCAGGCTGGGGTGGGGGAAGCACTTAGTCGTCCCCGCCCCCAGGACCACTGCCGATGGGGCCCCTAGACCATGCCCCTTAGAGCATGCCAGGCACTTATCAGCTGGGCTTGGGTCTCTGTTTACCGCAAGCCATCGCTGTGGAGACGAGAGCCTGGGGGATAAGGGGGGGGGGGCAGGAGCTGGTGGCTGGAAGAGCGAAGCCCTGGGATCCGCATGCCTAATGAAGAAAGAGGAGCCATCGGGGACACTGAAATTTTAATTCGTGGGTCACTTTGGGGGGGTATTTATTGTTCAATTCTGATTGGCTGCCGAATGGCCAGTCAGCACCCAGGCTGTGCCAGGAGCCACACAACTCTCAGCACAGGCCCTGGGAGAAGCTGCCTGGGTGGCTGCAGGGAGTTGATGCATCCCTTTCTCTGTGTGGGAGACTGAGACACAGCAGAGCTCAGGGTTTGTCCAGTGGGGAAGGTTCTAGAGCAGTAGCAAGTCCTGTGTTTGCTTTTTTACTTCCTTTCTTTTCCTGGGGCCCTCTGACCCACAGCTGTGTCAGGCTGGTGGCAGTCCCCATCAACATTGAGGACATTGAGGAAACCAAGGCCCAGAGGGGAGGCTGAACATGAGTGCGGGAATTTGGGGGCTTAAAGCAAACCTCAGAGCATATGCCTTGTTGGGCAGGGGAGACTGAGGCCTGGGGGAAGCAGAGAACAGCCCAAGGTCACCCAGCCAAAGCTGCGCCTGACCCCTGTGGTCTGCCTTCCGGCTCAGGCCTCCTTCAGAGTTCTCCCTATGTCCTACCCGAGGGGCGCCTACCCACCTGTCTCCCATAGGGCCAGGAGGTTGACAGCAGGCACCTGTTGGCCAAATAGAGCCTCCCTGGGACTTACCAAACTCTGCCCAAAAAGAATAGTGAGGCTCAGAGAGGGCCTGAAGTGCCCAAGGTCACACAGCATAAGCCCCAGCTCTGCTTCCCAGCCTTGCCTGGTAGGCACCTTTGAGGCCTACAAGGCCCTTTCTTGCTCCCTCCAAGCCACAGCCCTGCACCTTGGCCACTGGAGATGGGCAGGGCTCTGGGTTTTATGACCCATTATACCTGAGGAGGTCACCTCACAAGAGGTAGGACTCAGGGCCAGCCCCTCTGAAGCTGAGCCAGTCCTAGGAGGGTAGCTGCTGGGGTTTCCAGTGCCAGTGCACTTGCTGTATGACCTTGGATATACCTCTTAGCCTCCTGAAGCCCAAGTGTTGTCTCCCCCTCCCTCCTCAACAAGGGATTGTTGTAGGGTTGCCCCAGGTGGTGCCTGCAGATCTGCCGGTTTCCTCTCACGGAGGAAGCACCTACGTCCACGCAGGGTACAGCAGGGATTCTGCTAGAATGTGTGCTGGTTGGGTACCTGAGACACTTGGCACCCCCTGCCTGTCACCTTGTGTTCCAGGCACCTGAGAGACCATAAACTGATCTGCAACAGCCCTGGGCAGTGGGGGACCAGAGGATCAAGCTGGGGTGCGGGCCACTGTGGTCCAGTCCCAGCCCAGCCCAGCCCAGCCCTTGGCTCCACCTGAGGTCCGCTGAGGGAGGTCGCTTCCCCTCTGCCACCTTCAATTTTCCCATCAGTACAATGGGGAGATTACCTTCAGCCCAGAAGTGTCATTGTGAGGATTTCCTCAGTGATTCCTCAGGAACATTTGTTGAGCCACTGCCACGCATGCTAGGGCCTGTGGGATCCCCTCCTGCATTCCTGTGCTGATGCCCCTTGGGGTCAGGGCCCCTTCCCTGAAGTCATGGATGCTGGCTGGACTCCAGCCCTGCCCCAGGCGCCCTGTGTGACCTCTGGCAAGCCTCTCCCTTTTTTAGACCATCATAAGGCAGCTCTGAGGGGGTGTGAGAATAAGCTGTCCTCAGCCCCAAGGCCCCCAGGTTGGGGATTTAGTCACCTGCTGGTACCTGGGGGCAGTGTGTGGGGGAAGGGGAAGGCGCCCTGGGAGGACTAGTTAGGCAGGATGGAGCCAGGTGGCCTGTGTTCAAATCCATCTCTGCTGTGTAAACCTGGGCAAGTTGCTTTCTCTCAGTTTCCCGACCTGTAAAATGGGGCGGTGATTACAGACCCTGCCTTCCCGGGGCTGTGAGAGTGGATGGGGAGATGATCGAGATCAGACCTCTGTTTCCCTTAGGGCCCGAGGCCCGAGCTTGGAGCACCAAAGTGCAGGTGCCACCTGGAGAATCTGGCACTCCTGAGGAGTGTGGCCAAAGGACCAGCCCCTCCATCTGTCCTCCCAGCAGGCTGTGGACCGCCACTGGGTAGAAGCATCCCCACCCACACCTTTCTGGTTTAACTGGAAAACAAGGCCTGGTCCCATCTCCCATCAGGATGTGTTTGATGGGAGCAAGCTGGCCAGATTTATGGGCACAGGACACTGGGGCCCCAAGAGGCTGAACACCCCTTTGTAGTTTCCAGGCAGAGCCCTCCACCTGCTCCGGTTGAGGTGGAGGTGGGGTTGTGCCACTGCTCCAGGTGACAAGCAGGCCTCAGGGGAGGGAGGGAGAGGTCTGGAGGCAGAGAGGAGCAGGACTCCTAGAGGTCACCCAGACTGCTCAGGGGCATCGTGGATAAGCAGGATAAGCAGGTGCAGCCTGAGCAGGGGCCAGGGAGACTGATGGGATTCTTTGAAGCCTGGCTTTGCTTCCTTCAGTGACGGGAAGCTCATTCCTTCCACCTCACACTGAATGGCTCTCTTCCCGGGGCTTCCTCATGGAACCCAGTCTGGGGCTGTACTTCCTGGCACATAACAGCACTCACAGCGTGGGAACAGGGTGAGCCTGAGCCCCACCCATGAGTTGGGGGTCAGCAGGATCCCCATGACCTCATCCCCTCACTCTCAGCCCCCCCCACCCACACACACACTTCCCACTGGGCCTACAGTCTTCCTGCCTCTGGCCCTTTAAGGCTGGGGCAGGAAGCCCCTCCCCATTTAGGGCAATAAATGGACACGTAAAATGGCCGAGGGCCTGTTTGCTGGTGTCTGGCCAGAGGGAGGCCTGTGAGGACGGGGCAGGCTGGCAGTGGGCAGCAAGCAGCCACCCTGAGCCTTTGGTGCTCAACCCCCACAATCGAGACTCTGAATTCCTGTACCATTAAACCCCCGTCCAGAGACTGGGCCAGGCGGGGATTGGCACCAAGTCAGGGTAGGGTAACCCGTTGGGACCAACCTTGCAACACAGGCCGTGTGCCTGGGAGGTGACAGGGGCAGCCGGGTGTGGGCCTGGCAGTTGAACCTGGACACCAGACTTGCTGTGTGACCTTGGACCAGCCGCCCACCCTCTCTGGGCCTGGTTTGGGCACTACAACCCACTTCCTTGGCATAGAGTAGATGGTGTTCAAAAAACCCCTCATCCACAACGGGAAAGGCAAAGTCTTATTGGGGACATGCTGGCACACAGTAGGTCCCCAGGCAACGTTTACTGAATGGACAAGAATGGATTTCTGGACCTAGAGCACCCCAGCCCCCTTGCCACTGTTATGACCCCTCGAGAAACTGAGGCACAGGGAGGTGCTGCCTCTTGCCCAAGTTCACCCAGCTCAGAAGTGGAGGTGCTAGGATTTGGATCTGGGCTGCCATGTGTGACATGTAATATGTATTTAATATCTCTTTGGTTTCCTTGTGTATTCTTTGTGGGTGAGGGGTGCAGGGGCCTTGATCCCTTGTGAAACTGTCTGTCCTAGACACTCCTCCAGAAAGGCCTTGGGTGGTGGTTACCTGCCCACCCCCATACTGGCTACCCCCTCTTTTTCCGGAGGAGTGTGGGTGGGAGGAGGCCCAGTCCCAACTCTCACCTTGTGCCTGACCTTGGAAAGCCTCCTCCTTCCTTGGGTCCCTTCTCCCAGGCTCCCACCTTCAGGCCTTTTCCTCTGCTATTCACAATGTCCAGGGTACCCTTCCTGCGATCTTAGGGTCTTTCCTGGGTGACACCTGCTGCTCCTGGGACTAGGTCAAGGCATTCTTGACCTCACCCCGATGTCCCAGCAGTTGAATGGCAGCAGCTCAGGCTACTTCAGGTCAGAGAGTCTGAGTCCCCACCTGGTGGCTTGTCCTGTCATCTCTCTCTGAGCCTCTTGCCTGTAAAGCCCAGAGTTCTATAGTGGAGAGGATGAAATAAAGGTGCCTGGTTAATTCCTGAAAATTCCCAGGTACAGAGAAGGCCCCCAGGGAGGGCTGAAAGGCAGCCTGGGTCCTGCCTCCTTGGAGAGAAGCTTCAACAAGTGATCCTAGGTTAGATGGGAGGTGGGACCAGCACTGTCCCGTGGTCGTGGTATGTCAGCTGGCAGGGTGGGTGGGGCTGGGTGTGGGCTCTCCGCAGCCTGTAGTTGTCTTTGGTTCATCTGGTTGAATGCTGTGCTTCTACTATGCGCCGCCGAAGGTAGTGCCCAGCATAGAGGTCTAGGAGTGGACCAGAGGGAGGAGGGCACCCTACCTCCAGCTAAGGAGGAGCCTGCTGAGGCCCCTTGGCTGGCACATCCCCAGACCCTGCCCTTTGGGGGGAGGGCCTCTAATGATTATCTGCGGAAACAGTCTCCATCTGGGAGAGGACAGGGACATGGATGCTCAGGTCCTTTGCACACAGCCCACTTTACCCAGCTGGTGGAGACCAGCGCCCCATGTCAGGCTCCGGGCGCAAGCTTGCGCCTTTCTGGCTAGGTGGCTTCTGGCGAAGTGGGAGCCTGGGCACCTTACCACTTGAAGTAGGGCTGTGCCAGCACCCTGGCCTGGTGCTCTCAGTTCCTCGTGGGAGGGTGGCCATGGGTGGGTGTGAGTCACCTGAACTATTTCAGGTTCTAACCGTGAGGCCCCTGGAGACATGTCAAGGTCCACAGGGACCCTAGGGGCACCTGGGGGACAATGGCAAGCAGGCCAGGGTAGCCATCTTGGGGCATTGGTGGCCTGCATGGGGAGGAGCAGATGAGGAGGGGCCAAGGCCCATCTGATCCAGAGCCCCATCTGCCCACTTACTCCCCAGAGCCAGGGGCCAGACGGCAGATGGTGGCAGGGGGTGGAAGGCTCCACAGGGGGCTCTTTGGATGGCCGAGCCTCTGATGGGGTCAACCTCCATCCTCCTGCTCCCAGTAGCCACACCTCAGCTGACCCCCCCCCTCCCGCCACAGCTTCTGCGCGCGCGCACCCCCCGCCCCCACCGCCACCGGGGGCTGGCAGAACAGAGGGGTGAGCTGGAGTGGAGCAGCTGGTGCAGTCTGCGGGAAAAGAGGGCGGGCCTTGGAGAGAGACACCCTGGGAAGTGTAGTGTCTGCCTGAGCATGCACAAAGGCCTCTGTGTCAGCCCCAAGGCCTGAGCCCCACTCCCAGGGTGGCCCTGGGTCGGCATATTCCCTTCCTGGCCTTATGCTTGGCTGGGCCAACCCCGGGCTCACTTGCCAGACTGGCCACCCGAATCTCAAGGCACAGCAGGGATTTGGGTTAGAGCTGGTCTGGGCCGCTTGGCTGGAAGGGGGTGAGGGGGATGCCCTGGGGTCCTTTGGAGGCTGAGGAAGGCCCAGCTCAGCCTGCTCTGCCTTTCAGGAGCTCTGGCCCAAGAACTGACTGGCTGGGCCTAGAGGAATGTGGGTTGTGTTGGGTGGCTTGGGACAGCCGGGGGCTCCCCAGAGAGGGTGGAGGGGTGGGGATAAGAGCCAGAGGGTTGCACAAGCGCCCAGTGGGTGGATGAGTCACAGCCCAGGAGAAGGCGGAAAAAAGGAGGGGTGGGGAGAGGGGTGGGACAGTCAGTTCTCTCAGTGGCCTGGCTCTTCCAAAGGCCTCTGCCCATTTGACAGATGGGGAGATTGAGGCCTGGAAAGTGGCAGGGCCTTGTCCTGGCTGCACAGTCCAGACGGGGGGCTGAAAACTAGACAGAGCTGGGCAGGCAAGCAGGAGGCTCCGCCTTGGCAGAGTTGGCCGGGGTGGCAGGGGAAAGGAACATCAGGTGGTGGTGGTGGTAGCGGCCTGGTTTCCCCGCTACTCCCTGCCAGGGCCAAGCCGAGTCCTGGGGGCTCCAGTGCAGCAGAAAGGGGTTTTTGTCCTTAAGAGTCTTTGCCACACCACACAAAGGCAAACTCATGGTCCCAGTGACACCAGCTGGGCTTCTATATCTTTGTCTTGCCCCTTCCTACTGTCGCAGAGCCCCGCAAGAGACCTGAGGCAGCAGTGTGGGTCACAGAGTCTGAGGGGCCTAGTGGGGATGGAAGGCTAGGCCCGTTGGATGTTGGCTAGGCTGTCAGGTCAGACGCCCTGGGTTTGGTTAGGACACAGCTATGGGGCCTTGGGCGCGTGGGCTGCTCTCCCTGAGCCCTGCCTTCTCACTTCTGCAGCAGAGACGGTGCTGCCTGTGGAACTGCAGGGGGCTGGGGCGTGACAGCACACTGTGGGGGCCTTGTGAAGATCCCCACCATTGCCTCCTAGAGAGGGGATGGGGAGAAGGCTGAGCTCAGATTCACTAAGAAACAGCCTGCAGCAGGGCATTTATTAAGCACCTATTGTATGTTCCTTTATCCCCTCAAATTGCCCTTTGGATGGGCATTCCTGTGAGCCCTCTAGTGGAGGGGTGGATTTTGCCAGCATAGGCTCACATCCTGCCGTCTGATGCAGAGCCAGATATGGACTGCCCTGGTGCACACCTGGGGAAACTGAGGCTGGGAGGTCAAGGTGGGGCATCACTCTGAGGTTCTGAAGCCCTGGTGGTGCACCCTCCCATACTCACAACCGCCCTTTCTTCCCCGGCGCTGCAGGTCTCGGCGCGGAAGATGGCTGGCGGCGTGGACGGCCCCATTGGGATTCCGTTCCCCGACCACAGCAGTGACATTCTGAGTGGGCTCAACGAGCAGCGAACGCAAGGCCTGCTGTGTGACGTGGTGATCCTGGTAGAGGGCCGAGAGTTTCCCACACACCGCTCAGTGCTGGCGGCCTGCAGCCAGTATTTCAAGAAGCTGTTCACGTCGGGCGCCGTGGTAGACCAGCAGAACGTGTACGAGATCGACTTCGTCAGTGCCGAGGCGCTCACGGCCCTCATGGACTTTGCCTATACAGCCACACTGACTGTCAGCACAGCCAACGTGGGTGACATCCTCAGCGCCGCCCGACTGTTGGAGATCCCTGCCGTGAGCCACGTCTGTGCCGACCTCCTTGACAGGCAGATCCTGGCGGCTGATGTGAGCACCGACACCGGGCAGCTGGACATGGTAGATCAAATTGATCAGCGAAACCTCCTCCGCGCCAAGGAGTACCTCGAGTTCTTCCAGAGCAACCCCATGAACAGTCTGCCCTCCACTGCAGCTGCCGTCGCCGCCAACTTCGCGTGGCCTGCTTTTGGCACATCCGATGATGACCTGGATGCCACCAAGGAGGCCATGGCCGCCGCTGTGGCTGCCGTGGCTGCTGGTGACTGCAATGGCTTGGACTTTTACGGGCCTGGCCCCCCAGCCGAACGGCCTCCAGCCGGGGATGGAGACGAGGGCGACAGCAACCCGGGTCTGTGGCCAGAGAGGGACGAGGACACCTCTGCTGGGGGTCTCTTTCCACCCACTGTGGCCCCAACAGCTGCTGCCACGCAGAACGGCCACTATGGCCGGGGTGGGGAGGAGGAGGTGGCCTCCCTGTCAGAGGCAGCCCCAGAGCCAGGAGACTCTCCCGGCTTCCTGTCAGGAACAGCTGAGGGTGAGGACGGCGATGGGACTGACGCAGACGGGCTTGCGGCCAGCACACTGCTGCAACAGATGATGTCGTCGGTGGGCCGGGCAGGGTCGGCAGCAGCGGGGGACAGCGATGAGGAATCGAGGGCAGACGACAAGGGTGTCGTGGACTACTACCTGAAGTACTTCAGTGGTACCCATGACAGTGATGTCTACCCAGCTTGGTCACAGAAGGTGGAGAAGAAGATCCGGGCTAAGGCCTTCCAGAAGTGCCCCATCTGTGAGAAGGTCATCCAGGGCGCTGGCAAGCTGCCACGGCATATCCGGACCCACACCGGTGAGAAGCCCTACGAGTGCAACATCTGCAAGGTCCGATTCACCAGGTGAGCCAGCGCCACTGCGGCAGAGGGCAGAGTGGGGGTGGTGGGCTTCCTGGGTTCTTTGCCCAAACTGCAGCCACATGTGAGCTCCCTCCAGTACATGCACACATGCACGCACACACACGCTGCCTCTGTGGATGAAGGCAGTGCTTCTTCATTTCAGGCCTCCTTTGGGTGGGGAGAGTGCAGGCATTAAACCAGATGACCACGTAGAATAGAAAACATGCTAGGCGGTGCTGTGGGAGGCGGGAAGGAAGAGCGTCGGCATTTGCTCTTTTTCCCATGGGTGGCTCTTCAGACTGGAGGCGAATTTTTGCTTTGGGAGAGGCCTACAGCCCCTTAGAAAGCAGAGAGCTCTGGTTGTTTGAGTTACTTTAAGTCTCTTGTGAGCCTGGGAACTTGCTTCATTCAGCCAACATTGATGCACCTGCCGAGTGCCAGGCCCTGTTCTAGGCGCTGTGGATGCAAAAATAGAGAGACAGGCCAAAATCCCCATGGGGGCGACAGAGCATGTGTGAGATAGAACTGCAGAATTGATAACGCTAGCTGGTGGGACATGCTAGGGAGGAAAAGCGAGTGAGAACAAGGCGGTGGCAGTGGGTGCTGCTTTGGACAGAGCCGAGACCTGAAGGAGGTGAGGGAGGGAGTCTTGGGGAAGGGGAAAGGCAGGAGAACAGCCAGTGCAAAGGTTCTGAGGCCCGTTCAGCTTGGAGGATCACTGCAGCCAGGGGAGGGGAATTGGCACAGGAGCCACAGGGCTTGGTCCTTGGGCGGGTTTGAGGTTGGGCCGGGCTGGGCTGGGGGAAATTTGTGATTTGGTCTTAAAAGTCCAGAGGTAGCTGGCTGGGCCTTGTGGGCCAGCCTAGTGGGGGCAGGGGGCCGACGTGCAGGGGCCTGGCCAGGCCGGGTGACTCAGCACCACCCCCTACCCCCACCCACCCTGGGGTTCCCCCAGCCACACCTACCCATACTGAAGAAAGAAGCCATTGTCCCAGCTTCCCAGCTCTGTCCCGTGGGGACAGGACCTGGGGGCTGACCCCTGGACCCTTCCCCAGCAGGCCAGGAGTAGAGGGTGTGGCCTGGATTCCAGGGCCCTGCAGTGCCAGGCAGGGGGCAAAGGACACCACCGGGAAGGCGGGCAGTGTAGTTGGTGGCCTGGCCCACCCCTTTTGTGAGATTGTGGTTCTGGTAGTTTCGGGGGCTCCATCCTGCTCCAGGAGAGGGTATGGAGCTGACTGTGGGCCTGGCCCTCAGGGGTCTCAGGGCCTGTGAGGAACAGCTTGGTGAGGACACAGTGAGCTGAGGTCTGGAGAGGTGAACAGGCTGACCCGTGACCCCAGCCATAGGCCTCAGGCTGTTTCATTCTGACCTGGAGTTCTCTTGGCCACCCCATCCCCCTAACCCAGGGCTGATCCCATTTGCCAGTCAGGGAAACTGAGGCAAAGAGAGAGGGGCACCAGGCCGAGTCTCTTTTTCCCCCATGCGGCCACCTGTCTGCTTTCTGTCCCTGACCTAGGTCCCCAGCCCCCACCCCTTCCTCCAGGCCCAGGAGGCCAGGGGCCCCTCTGAGTCACACTAGAGAGTTGAGTAAGCGGGGCCTGTGGCGGCAGGGGCTATAATTACCCGGGCCGGGGCTTGGGGTGACGAAACTGGAGCTGACTCCACCTCCACCCCAACTTGGCACAGCCCCTGACCCACTATGCAGCTCAGTGCAAGTGACTTCCCCTCTCTGAGCCTCAGCTGGGGAGATCTCTGTAGAGCGCTTGCACAGTCAGAGTCCCTGCCGTCCCCTCTGTGGCCCGGGCCCATGCGGTGGCCTGCGCAGGGCACCTGGGAGACTTGGCAGAGCCCCAGGCAGGAGACCTGTTACCTTCTTTATTCCATGGATAAGAAGGGGGATTCAGAGAGATCTAGCCTTTTGCCCAAGGCTACACAGCAAGCAGGGTCCAAGGTGCTTTTCAGGCCTTTGCGGGGCTGGGCGGGGGGGTCTCTTTTTACCCCCTTGTCCCATTTTGCCTGAGAGTGTCCCTAGCCACAGCCTGCCTTTCTGAAAGGGACATAGTTTCAACCTCAAGGCCAGCAGGGATCAAGGGGTTGTCCCGGGATGGGGCACGGCCCAGTGCCTGCTGACCCTCGCCCCATCCACAGGCAGGACAAGCTCAAGGTGCACATGAGGAAGCACACAGGTGAGAAGCCATACCTGTGCCAGCAGTGCGGGGCGGCCTTCGCCCACAACTATGACCTGAAAAACCACATGCGTGTGCACACTGGCCTGCGGCCCTACCAGTGCGACAGCTGCTGCAAGACCTTCGTCCGTTCCGACCACCTGCACAGACACCTCAAGAAGGACGGCTGCAATGGTGTTCCTTCACGCCGTGGCCGCAAACCCCGTGTCCGAGGCGGGGGGCTTGGGGGACCCGACCCTGGCCCCGGGGCCGCTGCGCCGCCCAGCGCCCCCGCCCCACCCGGCTCCCCTGAGGCCCGGCGCAATGGCCAGGAGAAGCACTTTAAGGACGAGGACGAGGACGAGGAAGAGGCCAGCCCTGATAGCCTGGGCAGGTTGAATGTAGCAGGCGCTGGCAGAGGGGGTGGCGACGGGGCCACTGGGACCCCTGCCGATGGCAGCTTTGCAGCTGGACTCGCCTGAAAACCAAAAAGAGAAAACAGAAACCCGAGAGACAGAAAGAGAGAGAGAAATCACCCACCACCCCCCAAAAAACATACAAAAAGAAAATCTATCTATATACAGATATCTATATCGAGATATATATATATACAGATATATATATATATATGAAGCGTCACAGAATCTAGGATAGTGCTTTTCTCAGATTTTTCTCTTTCATGATGTTCTCTCCCTCCATGGGGACTCTTGCCCTCCACCCCCCAGCTCCCCTTCCCCCCACCCCAGCAGTGGGTTTTGGGGCTTGGCTTGGGGTTTGTGGGACACAAGGGTTCTGAGTTCCCTCCTCCCCCTGGGCACTCCCAGCATGGGGTCTGGGGTCCCATCCGAGAACTGGGCAGGGCCCCAGGCCCCAGGCAGAGTTGAGGGCTGCTGTGGGGGGTGGGGAGGGTGGGACTGGGGTGGGTTTTAGTTTTTGTCCCCTTGCTGGTTTCTATGAGTCTTTCAGACAAGACCTTAAATGATTTCTGTCCGCTGTGAGTGGACATTAAATTGGTCCCTGTCCCTACCCCCACCCTCCTTCCTCAGGGCACTTATTAAGTGGGGGTCTCCCCCTTGATCTCCCCCATGGCCTCGTCGCCTCCCATCCTTGCCTGTGGTCCCCTCTGTCTCCTGGCCACTGCGACATAAATCTATTTATTTCCCGGTGTGGAGAAAGGGGAGAAGAAGGGGGAAGAGGGGACACCATGTGGCTCCCAGGGGCTCCTGCCTTCCTTCATGGCACTTAAAAACGGTGGGGCGCCTGGGGGCCACAGCTCAGAGTGCCCCCACCACCTCTATCTGTGTCCCCTGACCCAGGCCACCAAGACCCCCACGAAAAGTTTGGAGATTGAAAACTTGTTTTTACCCTCTCCTCACCTCTTCCCTGAGCCCACCCCCAATTTTTAAAAGCACTTTTTAGATTGTTTTTCCCTCTTTTCCTCCTTAAAAACAAAATTTATATATAGAGAGAGATATATATATATTAAAAATATATACTTTTTCTCAGAGGAGCAGGCAACAGTGCGGGGTGAGACAGCCAAGGGCAGAGGGAACCCAGGGCCGTGCGGCGGCAGGGATGAGGGGGGAGAAGAGTCCAGAAGTTCCAGTGTCACAAAAGCAATAAAAAGATTTTACAAAATGAAAGGAGAAAAAAAAAACCAACCAACCACAAATAGAAGTCTTGGCACTTTGTAACAGAACGGGTACTATATCTTAATTTAAAAACATGTTTACAAGTTGCAACCAACTTCTATGAAAAGTTGAAAAGACAAAAAAAATAAAAAAAAAGAGAGCGAGCGAGAGAGAGAGCGAGCGAGAGAGCAAAAAGAAATTCCTAAAAGCTGATTTATTTTTGTACAAAATAATAAAAAAAAACCCACCACCAGACGTAGAATCCACTTCTGTTCCCCGAGGTGAGAAAGGGGTCAGGAAGGCCATGGGCGAGGGCAAGGTCCTCTGAGGGAACCTGTGCTTCACGTGGGGGTTGGCCTGGCAGGCAGGACTGGGGGGTTTTTGTGTTTTCTGCCATGTCCCCCATTCCCTCCCATTCTGCCCCTTTTTTGGTTCTGATTTAGAGATGTCTCGTTACCCACTAGCCATACAATGGCCACCCGTGTCTGTGGGGACCCTCCTTACTGACTCCCTAGCTCAGGGATGGGCCCAAGAAAGGGCTGGCCTTCCAACCAGCCAGAGCAACCCAGTCCCCTGCACCTGCCCCCCATCCTTGCTGTCCCCCACCCTCGCTGCTTCCTGGCTTTCGCCTTCCAACATGGCCACCTTTCCTTGTGGCCGCCGAGGAGCTGCCATCTTGGGTATGCCATCCCTGTTGAGGTGGGTGACAGGGGGCCCCTCCTCCAGGGCCTTACACACCCCCAGGCACCCCTCTTTTTACTCAAAGGCACTGACTGTCATCTGGGGGCTGGCATCTGCCTCCCCCAGCCTCTGGCTCCCCAAAGGCCCGGTGTTGACCGAGCCACAGGCCACGGACGGGGGCCGAGGCAGGGGAGACCATGCTGCCAGAGGCCAGGGCACCTCCACCCCCTTCTGCATATGCAATGCCTAGTCTGGGACCCTGTATATAGGCACATCCTGCTGAGCTGAGATCTTCCTCGTCAAAGCCCGAGGTGGGGAGGGTGCCCCTGCTCCCCACTCTAGTCGCTGGCCTGTCTCCTGGTACCCTTTTGCTCTGTGACAAACCCCGTCTTCTCATCTATTTCATTTTCTTTTTTTAAAGGGAAGCTTTTAAAGAAGGCAACATTCATCATTGTTTCTACAGGATAGTTTTCGTCTACTCCCGGCCTCCCCCAGCCCGTCAGCCCCCCAAAAATGTCTCAGGAACCCCCCCTCCTGAGGGGGGTGGCAGGGGAGCCCAGGGCCGCGTGGCCTCGTCCACACCCCAGCATCACGGGGCGAGCTCTTTCAGAGGACCGTCTGTGGAGGTCAAGCACAGAGCTCGAGCACCCAGGCCAGGGATCCCCCCCACCCTACCGCGGCTCCCAGAGAGGTCCCCTGAGGGGATAGCCCTCTCCCTCTACCCACACACCTCCTTGCAATAAAACCAACTGAAAAACTACAGCTGTCGTCCTGGCCAGTGGGGGTGACCGGACTTTGGGGAATCGAGGCCGCTGGGACTATGGTGGGGGCATGGGCTGAACCCCGCCGAGCACACTTTAACACAAAGCTCCTTGGGAATTGCACTAAACCCCAGCTTTCGCCAGCCCTGCCCACCCACTCCGCCTTAACCCCTCTTCTGCTGCCCGCCAGTCTGTCCCGGGGGCCACAGCATCTGCATGGGCCCAGAACCGGGACCCCCGCCCACCCAGCCCAGCCCCCCAACTCCGCGCAATCACATACTGTATATAGATGTGGATCGATTTTATTTTTATTCTTTAAATTAAGGTTGTGATAAAGTGTTGCCAAAGATACTGCTGAATTCTCGCGTTTCAGGAAACAAAAAAATATTTGAGGGGGAACGTGCTGACTGGTCGGAAAGGACACAGCAAAAAGTTTTTTTGTTTGGTTGTTTGGGGTTTTTTTTGTGTTTTCTTTTTTTGGGGTGTTTTTTTTTTTTTTTAACTGCCTGGTACAAAAAAGAAAAAAGAAAAAAGACAAAGTGAAATTGTTATTTCCATCATCTTGGTGAAGTTGTGTGGATGGATGTGTGCGCGCGCATGTGTGTGAGAGTGAGGTCCAGGCTGGGGACTTCAGGTGGAGGCTCCAGGGAAGGCCCTGGGGCAGGGGCAGGGGGCCTGGCAGGAGCGGGGCCCGGAGCCCCCACCTGGAGTGGTCTCCAGCCTGCGGGACCTGGAGAGGAAGATAAATATCCTTGCTGCTGCTCCCTGCCTAGACCCCTACCCTGACCCGACCCCGCCTTTTGAGATTAAAAGAAAAAAAAAGGCCAAAAAAAAAATAATAATTTAAAAACCAGTGAATGTAAAGTGCCGGACCAGGCCCAGCCTGGCACGGGTGTGGGCCTGTGCCCAGCCAGGCTCCAACGGGCCATACCAAAGTCTGCCCCCTCGGGCGGCCTGCCCAGGAACCCCATGTGGCCATCTTGTCTTGTCACCCTGTTTATACAGGGCTGTCCCTCTGCTTCCTTCTGAGGGGAGGGTCTCAGGTGGGAAGGGAGGGCCCCCCAGCCCCATCCAGGGTCTTCTGGGGAGTCTGCACTGCTGAGACCCATCATCTGTGTCGCGCATGGGGGACTGCGGCAGAGGCCAGGGCCCTCCCGAACCTAGGCCATCCAGGCAGCCAGGATTGTAGGAGGCGAGACAGCGAGAGTGAAAGGAAAAAAAAAATTAAAAACCAACAAAAAAAGCAAAAATCCTATTTTTTGAGAAAGAAAGATATTTATATTTGCAGTTTTATTTTAAAAAGTTATTTAAGCTGAGGAAGCAGCCTTCCTGGAACGGTGGAGGTGGCTGGCGCAGGACGGGTCGGGGCCTGGGGGCCTGGGCGCCTGGGAGTCATAACCTCAGAGTTAAGACTAGCTCGCACTAAATACAGAAATTTTCATGGTGGGGTGGGGGGCAGGACCAGGAGATGAAGGGGCTGGGGAGACCCACATCCCACGGCCCGGGCTGCCTGGAGGCCATGGCTGGGGTCCTGATGCCCAGGTACCCCCCAACCCCACCCAGGCCCAGACACAAGGTGCCTTGGACTTTGGGGGACCAGGCCTGGTGAATGGGGGGTCGGGGGCTCAGAGCACAGACATTCCATAGACTGTATTTGAGAGTCTTTATAAAATGTGGGAGATTTAAAAAATGATAAAAATGCACTTTTGGGGGGTGGGGGGAGAAGCTTTAAAGGTAATAAAAACAAAAACAAAAAGACAAAAGATGATGAAAAACCGGACATAAAAATCATTTTTCTTGTACATAAAAAAACCACTAAACGCAGCCTGTTACGACCGCTGCTGCCTCATTTGCCTGATTTTGATGTTCTTTTGTGTTTTGTTGGGGGGAACCTGGGGAGTGGGGATGGAGGGTTTAGGGGCCCCTTCTGCGTGGGTTGGGCACCTTGTTTACCTCACTTGGGGGCCCCCAGCTTGGGTTCAAGGACCCAGTGCTCATCAGCTTCATCCTTCCTGCCAGGCCTGGGAGGCAGAGTCACATCGGGGGTGGGGGTGCCCTGGGCTCCTGGGTTGGGGAGGTGTCTGGCAGTGCTAGGGCCTGCGCCCCTACTGAGGAGGTGACACCCCCAGGCATGGGCAGGTGGCTCCAGGAAGGGGCTGAGGGATAGTGGGGGCAGATGGGAAGAACCTGTTGGGTGGGCTCCTTGGTCACCTTCAACTACAAGGCTTCTGGAGGCCCTGGGCAAGGTCACCTTCACTGGGGAACCTCAAGTCTGCCAGAGACCTCCAAGGTGCAGCCCCATGTTAGCTGGCTGCTCCCCCACATACCCAGGGAGGAAGTCAGGTTGGAGCCCAGTCTCTGGGGAGGAAAACCGTGGGCTGCAGCCCCCATCTCTGGGTTGGTGTCACCAAACATGGCCACTTCCAGGGCCCTGGGGAGGGCCCTCTTCCCTCCTATTGCCCAGTCGGGCTCAGGTCAGCACGGGTTCCCGGAGTTGGGGTGGGTGACAGAGGAGCACAAAGGGGGCACAGAGGACCATGGTTAACAGCCTGGGGGAGGATGAACAGGACTCCGGGAAGTGGGCTCTTCCATAGCAGCCACAGGGGATGTGTGGGGCCTGGCCCGGTTGGTCCTTGGCAGGAAACGCCGCCCACTGCAGGGGCTCGGGGAGGGATTCTGGGTACAGGCTCCAGGTGTCCTCCTCCAGGGGCAAGGTCTGCGCTTTCGGCATGACATGGCACACGGGAACCCAGGTCTCCAA